AATAATAAAAAAAAACTGAAATAAATATCAGAGATATTTTTGAAAAATATGAGCTATGATATTTATAATATTTTGAAGAAAAAAAAAGCATTTGTGCATCTTTTTTTTTTGTTTAAAAGAATTACTGAACACTAGAAACATATTTGAAATGTATTTCGATACATTATTTAAACGTTTAGAGATAATAATTTGAAAAATAAACCGTTTGAATCCAGGGAATGAATTATTCGAAAAGGAATAAGTCGATGTCTAGACAGTGACCGTTCCTCTTATCTATTATATGTTTAATGTCCTCATCCAGGGTGTAACGTTTGTTTCCATGTGGTGTGTCCTTCTATACTAGTCTAGAATATTCCTTTATCTTTGAACTAACACTTTTATTTTCTTCTACTATATTCATTTCGTAAATTATTATATTCAAGTCAACATCGTTTTTTTTCTATTGAAACAAACAGTAACATCTACAAAGTCAAGCGAACATAATCGTCTATATAAGGTTTGTGATCTTCATAGTTTGAATTTATTTATTTACCTATCATTTTCTTTAATTAAAAATCTTCATATATCGATCAGATATCTACTTAATTACGATAAAATAATATATCTTACAAATAAACTCCACTCTAAAAAGATTTGCTTCATGAAAAATAGAAAAAAAAATGTAATTTAATGTTCTATAAAACTTAATATATCATTGACAGTGTATTGGAATAAATATTTGAATCTTTTTTTTTTTTTTTTTTCTGTAATGAATTTCTATATTATAACAGATAAAATATGAGTGGTACAATGGAAACCAAGTTATTTAAAACGGTCTGTAAACGGGCTGCATTAATGCGTGCTCCCTATGCTCAATCATCATGGACCACCAACACCAGTCCAATTAAGAAGAAAAAATCAACAGCTCGATGTAAAAAATCAATTAGTGTTGCAAACAACACAAATAAAAATAATAATAAATTATTAAATAAAAAAGTATGTTTGTATTAAAACAAATTTTTTTTTGTATGAAATATTTTTTTTAATCAAATTATACTATGTCTTTATAATTATTAGATGGATATCGTTGAACAAGATCCAAAACAAAATGCTGATAAAAAATAAGAAAAAAAAATGAATTATTTAAAGTAAACAAAAACTTTAGAGACTTTATAAATATATATGTATTTTTTTTTGGAAATTTACTTTTGATTATACATTTGATATTTTTCTTGCTTTTTTTTCATTTTTTTTGTTAAATAAACATGTAGCGCTATATGTAATATATGGCTACATTTGAAAGTGAAGATTATCTTTATTCAATTTATT